AAAGCTTATGTCTGGTGATTTCCTCTGTTGGAGTTTCTTGATTCTTGAGTTAATGTTCACACTTGTTAATGTGTATATTAAGATTTTCCCACCTTTTTTGAAAGTTTTGGAAACTTTGAGCAGTTTTCTATGTAATGCAACTCTCTCATAAGTGCTTTATATTTTAGGGCATCACTTTCAATGTCTTCTCATTTATTCTTGATTTTAAGTTTTTCTTTGATCACAGCCTGGATAAGTGTTTCTAAACTTTGTCATCTCAAAAACAAAACAGGACAACATAAAACATTATTTTTATTGATACTTTTAATTGTTTTTATAGTCTATCTGATTTATTTATTCTGTAATGATTTTTATTTTTTTCCTTCTGTTAACTTTTTGTTTAATCTATTCTTATTCTGCTTAACTTATAGTAGGTTATTCACTTAAAATCTTTTGACTTTCCTACGATGGACATCAACAGAAACATACATACTTCTTTTTTTAATGTTTTATTTATTTATTTATTTATTTATTTATTTTCTTATTTTACATATCAATCCCAGTTTCCTCTCCCTGCCCCTTCCTCTCTCTTTCCCTCCCTTCTCCCTCCTTTCCTCCATCATACTCCCTGACCACCGTCCCATCCCATCTCCCCCCCTCACTCCACAGGGAGGGTGATAACTTCCAGGAGGAGTCAACAAAATCTATCAAGTCATTTGGAGTAGGGACTAGGCCCTCCCTCCTGCCTCTAAGTTAAGGGAGTATCCCTTCATGGGGAATGTGTTCCCAAAGTCCTTTTGTGCACCAAGGATACAACCTGGTTCCACTGTCAGAGGTCCCTTAGACTGCCCAGGCCTTCTAACTGAGACCTACATTCAGGGGGTCTGAGTTGGTCCAATGCTGGTTTCCCAGCTATCAGTCTGGGGACCCAGTAACTCCTTCTTGTTCAGGTCAGCTGTCTCTGTGGGTTTCTGTAGCCTGGTCTTGTCCTCCCTCTCTGCATCTGGATTCCAGTTTAGCTCAGTGTTTAGCTGTGGGTGTCTACTTCTGTTTCCATCAGCTCTATGATGGTGGATAAATCAATCTCATTATCAGGGAAGTTATCAATCTCATTATCAGGGAAGGGCATTTATGGTAGCCTTTCTGCTGTTGCTCAAATTGTTAGTTGGGGTCAGTTTTGTAGGTTTCTGAACATTTCTCTAGAGTCAGTTTTCTCTTCAAAACTATAATGGCTCCCTCTTCTATTCTCTCTCTCTCTCTCTCTCTCTCTCTCTCTCTCTCTCCTCTCATCTATTCCTCCCCTGACTCAATCTTCCTAGTCCCACATGCTTTCCTCTCCTCCCCTTCTCTTTCTCCTAGCTCCCTCTCCATTCACTGCCCTCCCCACTCCCAATATGCTCAGGAGATCTTGTTCCTTTTCCCTTCTGTGAGGGACCTTGTATGACTCTCTTAGAATCCATCTTGTATCCTAGTTTTTCTGGTGGTGTGAATTATATCTCTCTATATATAGATATAGAATTCTCTATATCTAAAATCCATATATGAGAGAGTGCATACCATGTTCCTCTTTTTGTGACTGGGTTACCTCATGCAGGATGGTTTCTTCAAGTTCCATCCATTTATCTGCGAATTTCAAGATTCCATTTTTTCCCCCCACAGAGTAGTATTCCATTGTGTAGATGTGCCACATCTTCATTAACCATTCTTCAGTTGAGGGGCATCTAGGTTGCTTCCAGTTTCTTGCTTTTACAAATAATGCTGCTATGAACATAGTTGAATAGATGTCTTTGTTGCATGGATGTGGATCATTTGGGTATATACCTAAGAGTGGGATGGCTGGGTCCTGTGGTAGACTGATTCCGATTTCCCTGAGGAACCGCCATATTGATCTCCAAAATGGCTGTACAAGTTTGCACTCCCACCAGAAATGTAGGAGGTTCCCTTCTCTCCACATCCTCTCCAGCATAAGTTGTCATTGGTGTTTCTAATTTTATAGCATAAATGGTGTCATTGTTTTTTTCTGGTTTTAACCATTCTGGCAGGAGTAAGATGGTATCTCAGAGTTGTTTTGATTTGCATTTCTTTGATAGCGAAGGATGTTGAGCACTTTCTTAAGTGTCTTTCAGCCTTTTCATACTTCTTTCAACTGATTTTGTTATATTGCATGAGCAGGGCACGATATATTTTCCTTCTTACCTTTTCTATGATTTTTTTCAATTAATTTATGAAGTCTTGGTTCTTCAAGAGCTGCTTTTAAATTTCTGTAAGTTTGTGAATGTCAATATTATCTATCCTTTTCATGCCATTGCTTTTGAAATACATATTTAATATGATTTCATCAGTATCTTGAATTTAATATGACTAGCTTTGTGGCTCTATATGGTTTATTTGGATGACATTTGATGTACATATGAAAATAAATTTCCTTTGCCAGTGTTTGTAGAAATGGTCTATGCATGTCTACTGGGTTCACTGAGTCTAATAGTACCATTTTTACTGTTTTATTATTTATTTTCTTTATGAATGCTATAGCTACTGTTAAAAATGGAGTACTGAAGCCCCATACTATTATTGCGTTGACATCTATCTCTAATAGCTATGTACAGACTCTTGAGAAATTGACCCCTTTGTCAGAATATTATGGTCTTCTTTGTCTCTTATTCTCTTGTGAGTTTTTCAGCTAAAGTCTACTACATTGGCTTCAAGTTTAGTTTGTTACTTTGGTTACCATTTGCATGAACCTCCAATTGCTTCACTTTTAATCTATTTGTCATTTTTAAAGCTGAAATAAGTCTCTTATAGGATGAATATTTAACCCACTCCTAACATTACTATACTTGCATTCAATTTCTTATATTTTTTTACAGTTTCTTACAGTGTATTATGGTTGGTCATATTCCTCTCCTCCATTATGTCCTCTTAATTCTCCACATTATCTGCTTTCTACCCGTCCTTTTCCAACTTTTACATCTGTCTTTAGCAATTGAGACATGGTTTCCTTTAGAACATTTTTTTGGGGGGGATTTGAGTAATTCTGTAAAATTTTGAATGTTTCTATTACATGATTTTCCAAAATAGAAACCTATGGCTAAGTTTTTATTTCAAGAGAATGCCCTGCACATTAACACAGCAACAATAGTACACAATGATTCAGAAGTTACTGGATATCCAGTACATCCTTATTCACACTCAGTGCTCTCTGCCTCCAAAATCAGAGTTGATTATACACATGATCTTGAGTTTTATGCATAGATGCTCCTCAACCAAAGAATGTATAAGGAACATATGATACAGTGGAGTACTACTCAGCTATAAAAAAAATGACATCTTGAAATTTGCAGGCAAATGGGTGGATCTAGAAAAGCTGTCCTGCATGATGTAAAACAGACCCAGAAAGACAAATATAATATGCACTCACAAGTGGATATTAAACATCTGCATCTATATATCTACAATCTGTATGTCTTTTTCTATCAAGTTATAGGCAGCTCTAAAGAACTCAGACAGGTGTTGGGAATAAGGTAAGAGTTTAAGGTGTGGATTGCTACACATTTTAGTGATAAGGAAAAAAGAAAGGAGGAAGTGGCCAAATTTCTTGGTTTCAGCAGTAAGCGGTAGAAGAAAATTAGAGTCTCCTTTGGAAATTCAACTAGAAAATAAAATATTTGACTATTGGTGAAGATTGTGACAATTTTCTTTAGCAGATTCCATGGACTTTTCACCCCATTGCATTCTCCAACTCTTAATTCTTCTCTGTACACAAGAACCAGGTAATTCTTTATTTCCTTTAACAGATGTTTAGCTGGAAGTTAATGGGAAATGTAGAAGAGGTTAGAGGCCATTTACTAGTGGGTAAAGAGGGATGTATGCTTGGTTCTGTGTATTAATAATGCACCTATATAAACACACCTGGTAAATCACTTAATGTGAGTGTGTTTAAAGCAATGGCTATGGGAAACAGGAGAGAACAAAGGCGAGAACGAAGGTAGGCAAACAGGTCATGTGCAACTAAGTTACATGCAGCTTGCTCAGATGAGAGAATTTCCGGTATGTTTGTTTTATGTAATTATAAAGGTGGCATCCCAGGTACATACAGAGAATCTCCTCACAAAATCTGTTTTTTTTTATTTTTAAAATTATGCCCATTTCATAGTCAAGCAGCATATATAACTTTTAATCTTGAGATTAAATTGTTTTAAAGCTCTTCTCAGTAAGTCAGAGTTTTTATTAAGTGTGCAAGCCTATTCATAATTTACTTTAAGGATTTGTCTAGCATTGCAAGCTGACCTAATTTTAAAAATTCCTCAAATATTGTCTTATCATTTTCTGATCATTATGAATGACTGAATTAACAGCATTTAATTCATCAGTTTCCTTCATGTTAAGGTAATAACAAGTGTTCTTTAAGAATTAGGGTGAAGGGTCTAGAGAGGTTTCCTGGTAGTTAGGAGCACACAGTACTCTATTGGAGGACTCAGATTCTGTTTCAAGCACCTACAGAAGGAGGCTCACAATTACCTATGAATGCATCTCCAGGGCATCCAAAGATCTCTTCTATCCTCTGTGAGTGCACACACTCAAAGGCATATATACCAAGCCACAAACATAATTAAAAAACACTAGAACAACTATTTTAAAAAATTATAGAGAGGAAACAAAAAACATGATAACCTGAGAAGAGGGTCTAGGTTTAATGATTGAGCTTGGGGTTACCCTAGGTGGGGGCCTGGGTTTAATCCCTGGTACCAAGTAAGACTAATGGGTGAATAAATAAAATGCCCCATGAGGAATTCTTCTCTCAGGAAGTAGCTCACATTATAAAGCAGAAGAGAACCTGGGAGCCAGGGACGGTAAGGGGCAAAGCTGCACAGAGACTGTTGTGGAGTCAGAGGGGGACAGCTTGGTTGTTACTTTTCTTGTGTTCCCAGCTTAGATTTTCGTGTATGTTGTTCAATCCTTCCCTGAAAGCAAAGAGCAAACTACCTGTGGAAACTCAAATGTTTGTGGTAACATATTGTCAGATGACCTTGTGTTCTCAATTTATTCAACACCGTGAGTCGGGTAATGTTAAGCTTATTTCTCAGATGAAAGTGCTGAGGTTCAGGAAAGTAAAATATTGCTAGAAGAGCAAAGTCCTGAAAATCAGTCCAGGTGAAGTGTGAGCACAGAACTAACTGAGGAACACAGTGTTTCTCTAACAATAAACGTGCCTCATGTGTTTAAGGGGTTTGTGATGCTGTGGGCACAGTTTAGATCCACCATGTTTATTTTGAAAAATATTTGAAAAAAATGTTGTGATTTGATCATGGAAATGAAGTGAATGAGTGAAAGATGTTTATCATATGAGTTAGGTGGATCAAACTGTGTAGTTGTGTCTTTAACTTTCATATTTAAATAAAGCACACACTTGGGAAAATAGTATTCCACAACAGTATTCAGACTTCTTAACTTTTGCTCTCTGCATCCTCACATTATGGATTTATTGTACTATTGTTGACTTAACAAAATACACATGAACACTTAGAATCTATTCAATTGTTTCTGGTTTCTTTATATATTGGTAGAATTTATTAACATTTTTAGAGGAAATGTGGTTAATTAAATATCTTTATTGAATGAATTCCTTTGTGTAGTACTATAATTTATTCCCACAACTTCAAAAAATATTTATTTCTTTCTTCTATGTATATGAGTGGTATATCGGCCTTATGTCAGAAAAGGACATCAGATCCCACTATAAATGATTATGAGCCACCATGTGGTTGTTGGGAATTTAACTCAGGACCTTTGGAAAAGCAGTCAGAGCTCTTGACTGTTGAGCCATCTCTCCATTCAGACTTTTTTTTTTTTTTTTTTTTTTTTTTTTTTGAGACAGGGTTTCTCTGTGTACCCCTGGCTGTCCTAGAATTCACTCTGTTACCAGGCTGGCCTTGAACTCAGAGATCCACCAGCCTCTACCTCTCAATTGCTGGGCTTAAAAGTGTGCACCATCACACTAGGCCCAACTTTTGTTCATTAATTGTTTGAGAATTTCACATGACATATCTTGGTCATATTCACCTGTAGGAGGAAATGAGGTTCATGTACTCACAAATGAGCACTGGAGAAACCAGAATTGTAGAACATGCATAATTTCTTCTTTAAGAGAAGAAACCAACACCTATTCACCCAGACACTGGAGTAGGTGTTTTCTAACAACCTGGTGAACTTTTGCTCTCTTATGATCCAGTTTTCTCCTGAGTCCCCCAAGTCAGTCAATGGAACCTATGCCTATGAAAGCCATTTCAATGCAAAGGAGTTTTCTGTTATGCTTATTATAAGTCTTTCTTCCCTAGGCTTTGACTCTTAAACACTTTCTCAGTAGTACCCATTCCTGTGAAAAAGGCCCTAGGTGGCTTTGCTAAAGAGGCCAGTTTTGCAAAGGAGTTTTGATGTAGCTATAATTAAAGCTTTGTTGTGGTAATTGCCATGTAGTAACTTTCCCCCAAAAGTTTTACTGTTTAAACATGTAAAAAATAAACCACTTTGCATCAGGCCCCAGAAGTTTTGGCCCAGGATTGGTTAACTAAAGTCAGGCTGAGCCCAGGTTTCATTTTTGCCTAACCCAAATTTTTTTCCCTGCCAAGCTGTGGCCCTTGCAGAGATCCCATATTTACACCTCCACTTATTCTCTGACCCTTCTCAGATCTGCCCTCATGTCCTTTCTAAAAAATGATCTGCTGAGTCTAATTTGTTCTGCACTTTTACCCATGAGTGTGGATCCATCCTCTGCAGTGTGCTATGAAATGTATTGCAATTCAATTTTAACATGACATGGTCACAATTTTGGAGAATAAATGAATTAGCTTCTATTAGGTATATGTTAGGGGCAGAGTGGCTATTTGTAGGGTATACTGAGTGAAAAGATAACCCCAAGGGTTTCCACTTAGTACCCAACAGAATTTATGCTTCCTTCAGCAATGTGGGTGAGGTGTGTTGTTTCTGCTAATTTTCACTAAAACTTGGACATTGTTTGCCTTTCATTTTAGACAACTGGTGCATATGTAGTCCTCAGTTTAGTTTGTAGTTCCTTAATGACCAAGTTGCACACCTTAAGTACATGAACTATCCAGCCAGATGTAGAATAATTCATAACTTCTTAGGATAAGGATACATATGTACAAACATATGTATATATGTACATATATATATAAGTTTAGCACATATATATGTAAGCAAAGTCATATATATGCTTAACACATGTATATATACACACATATATGTGTATACAGGCAAGGATAAATATGTGTGCGTGTACATATATATGTTGGACAATTCAAAATTCTTAATTTTTAACTGTAATAAGTATTTACTAGGTAATAAGTGCTAGAAATCAATTTAGAAACTAGATATTCAGTGTTGAAGAACATACTGTATGTAGTTCTTGCTGTCTCTTTCTCACTTTAGTTCTGAGGCTCAAATGTAGGGGCTTGAATGTACCAGACAAGCATTCTACCACTGATAATATACACAGATTACAGTTCCTAACTATTTCCTTTTCTTTGAGGCACAGTCTCTCTATGTATTGTCAGTTGGTTTTGAATGCATGATTCCTTTTCCTCAGCCCAGAGTGTGTCATTTTCTACTGTGCAAAAGAGGCAACTAAAATGATACTCATAAGCAAAGAGAAATGCTATTAGGAACACTGGTGTAGTATGGATGTATATTTCCCTTAACCCTGGACATCATTTTCAGTGTATCCACAGAAAATAAAGCATGAGAATTATGAGACAGTTGTCCTAGGAGGAAATGTGACCATCTTCTGCAACTTGACAACTCTGGCAAATGTTGAGCAAGTCACCTGGCAGAAAATCCAAGGCTCCCTGCCACAAAATATTGGCACTTACAGCCATAAATTTGGGGAAAATATTCTCCCACCATATGTAAACAGGCTGCACTGCAATATTCTGGAACCCAATGCCTCCTTCATAACTATCCAAGAAGTGACATTTGAAGATGAAGCCTGCTACAAGTGTCTGTTCAACACTTTTTCATTTGGCAGCCACAGAGGACAAACGTGTCTCAACATTCTAAGTATATAACCCTTTCTCTAGGGTCCTGTAATGGGGCAGACATCCTGGGGTTATGGTGTTTAAGGACATTGTCCAGGGAGTTAAATGAAGGAAAACTGGTGATGAGTCCAGGTTACTTAGACAGGAGAAAATAACAAGGCCGATGTGATTGTGCACTGAGGCAGGGCCTTCTCCCTTACAGTACACTGAACTGGTTTCCGTTAAGGGGAGAAAACCCCGGAAGGGCATCAGAACTTTGTTACTAAGGCAAAGAGAAGATATGAGAAAAGAAAGAGATAGCAGAGAAAAACAGGGAAAGGTGAAGACGAAGGGAACTAGGGTTCCCCAGCCTTCAAGTACGCAATACATTCAGTACCAGTGAGAACCAGAGTTCCTTATTTATCATGCTGCTGTGTGAGTGTTGGGGTGTATATAATATAATTTATAGTTGTATAGAACTTAAGACGGCAGTCAGTGAAGAGAAGAAATGGTATTGGAAGTTTTATGACATGCGACGGGGAGGTATACAAGAGGGATATGTTTTCAGCATTTATGTGTCACCTGAAAATTGGGAAAACACCATGTCCTTTAACAGCAGAGAATTTGGTATGACATACCTTTAATTTGTCTCCTTCTTTTTGCCTCAGCTGTATCTAAATTAATAACCAAACTCAGTTCTGTTACTGGCTCTGAAGATCTCCTTAACCTTCAATGTTCAGCTGTGGGAAAGCCTGCTCCCGGAATCTCCATTTACCCTTCCCAAGACCTAGTGTACTCACAAAAGGAGTTCTTTACTAAAAACCCGAATACCACAGTGACTGTCACTAAAATATACAACATCTCTTTGAAAACTGTGAGGTCGCTGGGTCTACAGGACGTAGTTGTGTCCATGACTCACCCCATAAGAGATGAAGAGAAGATAGTTCCTCTGCCAATAAATCAAGAAGGTAAGTAGAAATGACATCAAAATCAAAGGGAACAGTTGGAGTTGGGAAAATAGCTTAGTCTGTAAAATGCCTGAGAAAAGCCGAGCCAGTTTTGCTTCATTCTCATCTTCCGTGACTGCAGATTTAAGCTGGGGGTAGATACCACAACTCTTTGCCCTTACAACTCTTTTCTTCCAGTTTTCATTGTTCAATCTCATTGCTGCCATGCACTCAAGCTTCTCACTTGGTTGTTCCCTTTTACAAGATCTAGGTCCTATGAACTTTTTATAATTTGGGAAATCTTTACTATTTTGTCAAAAGTAATTTATTCAGAATGTCTTAATACTTGCAAAAGGAAGCTTGGATCCAAACTAATAAGATGATGTTGACCTTAAACCATCTTTTATTACTCATTGAAAAAAACCACAACTTTCATCATTTCTCAGCTTTTATTATTCTATACCAATCCTTTTATTATTTTACAACTTTATTTTCAGTCTTGTATCTCTTATCTTTTTCATCCTATTCATCAGTTAGTGAGCTTTGAACCTCCATGTCCAGATGCACGAGACTATCATTTTCCGTCTTCATCAGACCCTTAGAAGAGTTGGTGGAGACCCAATTAACTGTTTTCCATCACTTCCTCATAGTCTAAAGTTTTACTCCATCTGCATAACCCTTTTATGTCCAGAGAAAAACTAGGGGCACGATATGGAAGTACAGTAACGGTAAGTGATTCATCATCGTAGCTTACTCTCATATCATCTCGAATTACTCTGTCCTAATCATTTATACATTATTTCCCCCTTACTCATTTCATATTTCACAGTCAATAGAATATTTTGTTTCTATCAAATATTACCACTGCCTTCAAGCTAGTTTCAAACCTCACAAGCCTTGTTGTGTTAGTTTGTTTTTTGTTTGCACTAATTATCAATACTGCCATCACAGTTAGTGGTATTATTCCCATGATTAATCCAGGATATAGTGATGGAAGTCACCCATTAGAGGCTATTTTGATTACTGCATTTGTTAACATGCTTGATGGGATTGTTATGTTGCTGATAATCAGTGCTTATTGCCTATTTATCATCAATTTAATAAGATTAAGCCTTGCATAAATAGAATAACATTTGAACATATCAGCAGTAGACTAGTGAAGTATCCAATCACAAAACATTTTACCAAGTAAAGGTTTATTTTGATTTTCAGCAGCCAAAGGTATGAACCCCTTTCTCTCTCAGATTCTCAACTCCACACTCTCTAAGCTGAAAGGGAATTTGTACTTTCTTTCTAGTTCCCTTCCAACTTTTTTACTTTGATTTATGGCAAGCTGCACTGCCTAGCACCTGAATTCTGGTACAAGCCAATTAGCCTTCACTATTTTCTGATGTCAAGAAGAAATGTCTTCCTCCCTTCTTGCTTAAATAGGGGACACAAGATAATAGTGGCTCTTTCTTTCACTTTGTAGAGAAATGGTCTAATTATTTTTGCTCATAGCCTAGAGATTTGGTGACTATCTTGTCACGAGAAAACAAATTATTTGTAGTAATAAATACCTGTATAAAAGAAAGCATTCCTGGATTGCTACAGAGCCTGTAGGGTCTCAATTTGGTGCTAGCTAGAGCCTGCTAGCTTTTCATTTGAGTTTTATAGGCCAAAGCATGTTATATGGCATACCATTATCTTGATTGCAAATTAGTAGATACATTTCAGGTTTCTGAGAGCTAAGGAAAAAGGGCACCCATCCCAGTGAAATGTTCCCCTACTTAAGCTCTTTACAATCACTTGCCAGAGGGTGGAATGTGTTAGAGGACTTCCCTTCTCCATGCTTCTTCTGGGCAGTCTCCAAGAATCTAAAAGAAAAATGTTGGAAGAGCCTGGGATCTTTTTGTCTGCTGAACTTCAGGTGCCAAGCTATGGGGACATAACTGGGACAAAATGCAGGGCTTTTTAAATCAATCTGTCTGTCTGTCTGTCTGTCTATTTTTGTTTTTGAGACAAGGTTTTTCCATGTAGCTTTAGCTGTCCTGGAACTCAGGAAGATCTGTCTGCCTCTGCCTCCCGAGAGCTGCGATTAAAAGTGTGCATCACCACCACCTGGCAAAGAAAACTCATTTTTTTTAATGAATGTAGAACACAGAAGGAGGTTTTCTCCCAGAATGTACAGTAAATGGGTCCAAATTATTCTTTGAGAGAATAAGGCTTAGAAGACTACCTAGACCACTCAACTAGTACTAATTACATTGTAAGTATCTGAGATAAGTGTAACAGTACTCCGTGGATTTTAAAATAAAATCAAGTAATATAGTTTCTTTCTTCAAACTGTACACCGACAAGGCAAGCGGTTTATTGCAAATCAAGAGAAGAATAAGGAAGTTGTGTGAATTTTTCTTTCCTTTCCTGTTTTATATCAGTACAAGATGAGTTTTCTAGGCTCTCAGTTGGTAATATAGTGTACCGTCAACCTCTGGCGATCCCTCCTGTCACTACTCCTGTATAGTCACAGCTTTCATAGAGATCTGGCAATGAGGATGAAGTGAGAACCTGAAACGATATAATTTGATAAGAAGATCTGCTCTACGTTGTTCTAATATTAGGATATACTGGTTGGCATTTTGTTTTTGTAAACTCAGAGGGGTGATGAGAAAGCTCCAACTTTCTAGAATTTGGTCACATTAACCCAGCAACCAAGAGAATCACTAACCGCCGGCAAATTCTGAATGTTTTCTTATTTCATGGAGACTTTCCTCCTGTTAATTCAAGTGATTAAAAGTACATTCATCATCTGGGGTGGCTTTTACTCCATTTTCATATCCATGACTTTTTTTTCCATCATAATATCTGGCAGAGTATACAAACATCTTCTTCAAGTTCTTTTATGGTATTTTTCTTTCTCCTGAGAAGCAAGTTTTTTTTAATTTAAAAATCCCTTTTTAACTTAAAATGAAAATTGTTTAGTTTTATTATTGAAGTTATATCTCTGGCAATGTACACACATATGTAATGCCTTCTGATTCCTCTTCCCTTTTCTTAACTCCCTCCCCCCCTTTCACCCCCACACCATACCTCTTCTCCCTGCTACTCACTCTCCCAGGGTCATAGCTATTGATCTTATCTTGTGACCCACCTAGTTTAGTCAGGGCTGTCAGTGGCAACATCCACTAGGGACTCTGAGGTCACCAGTGGGTGGATACACAAAAGAAGACAAGGCTTTCTGTTTGACCTGAATATATCACGAGGAAATAGTTCAAGATTGCAGAGTAGGGAATGCTGAGCCCCTCCTTCCCCCAGGCTTGGGAACTGATGGGCTAAACGTATTCATTCTTTCAAAGATTTTCTTTCATTGTCTATTTTAAGGAAGTTAAATATTCTCAAGTGTATCTGGAAATAGTAGCTTGAAAGTCTTTATTTGTCTTCCGTTTCACTAATTGTCTTGATCCTTCCCCTTTGGAGCTCCATCTTCTGTTCACTTTACATGTTTACTAAGTCTGTTCCCTCACAAGCTCTTGTCACTGAAGGTCAGGTCAATATTCTTGCTCTTTTCACTTAACAGTTTCTAATTTAATGCTATTTTAAAGGAGTCTCAAGAAGTATTAAAGGTAAACATTTTTATTACATTTGCTTTTTGAAGCAAAAGTAAGCCACCTCCTTTTCCAGGATAATTTTCCCGTCATAAAACTGAATTATATAAATTAAATATTATAAGCATCTCTATGAATCTATTGGCTGTGTTAATATGGTTAATTTTATTTTTTTATTAAAATGCAAGTGTCATTAAGAATCAATTTATCAATTAGAAAGAAGATTCTGCTTTATTATGTTAAATGTTGGGGATGTGAATGTCTGATTCTGGTGAAATTCCATGTGTAGCTTTTCTACTTTGCTGGAATTGCCTTCAGAGAAGATTCTATATTACAGTGCCAAATTCTTCATGGTCAATCTCCTTCACCTACATAAAATGGCTATGTAGTATCTCATTGAAAAAGAATGGTAAGAAACTCGATAAAACTGCATCTGTGCAGTCAAAGGCAAAGGCATGGTGCCTCGCTTAAAGGCATGCACAGTCCTAATTATATCCAAGTGAAGAAGAAATTGCTCTGTAGGATTTCACTTTTCTTCCCATGGTAATGAGAAAACATCTTATTGAGTAAATTTGAATGTCAATTAAGCAAATCCAAAAAGCTTTACAAATTAAAGGCTCCCAGATGGCAAGTACAGAGTAGCCAGAGTAATAAGATGTTCTGGTTTGTGTTTTTCAGGTACCACAGATAATATTTTAAATTCCATGATAATTGCAATTGTATTAGTTTTATTTTTCATTCCGTGTGTCATCAGAACTGTTCTCTGTTTTTATTTCAAAAAGAAAAGGTAAGCTATAGGAAACCCTGCTGTGATAGAGGCATTAGGTACATCAGTGCTAGTTGGAAATCTTATTTTTTTTTTTTAAAATTCTAGGGGTTCTGGAAAAATCCATCATGCAGAGGGTAGTGAAAGAATACTTGTCACATATGCTTGACTGTTTCTGATATTGGATGGTTATAAAAATAGACTGTTTAAATCATTTATGTGTATGGTAAATTGAGTGCAATATTTTTTTAAGGAAAATGTTCATTTTTATTTTATGTTTGTGATTTTTGCCTGTATATGTCTGTACTCTATATGCGTGTCTGGTGCCTGTGGAGGCCAGAAGAGGGTGTTAACACTTGAGTTACAGGCCATTATGAAACCTTCATATGGGTGCTGAGGATTGAACCACGGTCCTCTGAACAAGCAACAAATGCTTTTTCTTGATGAGTCATATCTCTCCAGCCCCATGTTAAAGATGATTAATTGAGAGCAGATTTTCATAGGAGACAGCAGAAGACAATAGGTGGGAGGGAGTATCTTGAGTGCCAAAATATAAAGGACAAATTGGAAACCTGAGGAAGGTCCAACTGAGGGATAAGGTGAATCTGAGATCTTATTTTTAGGTTAATATAATAAAATACCCATATACAACTCCCCTGGTGGACATAAGTAAATAATGGGAAGATAAATGGAAATATGAGGCCGTGACATTGGAAACTATAGATATAATTGGTAGCGTGTAATTTGTTTTGCTGTCATTATATAGTCTCCATCTTAATCCAGGGAAATGTGAGAACATTATCTATAATCTAGAAGGCTCTCCCACTGACATGTGGAAGAGAAGTCTTAGAAGACAAGAATGAAAGAGTATTTTGAAGAGACTGCTACAGTAGGCAAATGGAGACAGATGGTAACTATCTAGACTAAAGAGATAGAAAAGAGGAGGAGGGGTTACAGTTATATTCAGGATGGGAAGGTTTTCTGAGTGATGGGTGTGGAGAAAGAGTGAGAAGAAGAACTTTCTCACTCAAGTTAAGTGTTTTTAGCATTAAGGAGAACTTTTACAACTGTATACAAGAATAGAGGAAGAACAAGCTCTGTTGGGAGGATTAAGAATTCTAATTTAAACATTGTCATTTTTAAATGCCTATTTTACACTCGAGGGAGAATGCTAATTAAATATCTACATGTATGAATATGGGATTTGTGGAGCAGATGATAATTTGGGATTATAGAGGATATGTTCTCCATGTAAAAACAATAAGCTAGTTGTAGTATTTTGGCAACTACTCAAGAGAATTTGTGTATGAATCTATCAAATTTTGATTACTAACCTGCTCTTACAATGTGCTACCATAAGAAGGAATTTTTGGTCAGCATTTAAATTTATTTCTGTCACACTGTCATGGTATCTCTAGGTCAGAGAACACACCTGTCCCGTTACCAACACTGAGGACTACACCATCACCAACAGAGACTAAGAACTTAATGAAATACCACCATCAGAAAGACATAAATGGTAGTATGTGATTTTTTTTAGTGTTTTATTTTTTTATTTATTTTTTATTTATTTTATATAACCAAGTCCATTTAAATGAAAACAAACATTTATAGACAATATTTGGGAATTTGGGCATTGTTCTTTCCAAACTACTTCCTGCTGGTAAGGGGCACTGTCATGGGGGATTCGAAGAAGATTCAGAAATCCTGGCTATAGTCTGTAACGCTGCTTTGTCCAGCTGTTTTGAATGTAGGATCACCTGGTACTCTGTTTCAGGTAGTCTGGCTTGATCAAACCGGGTATGTGATTATTTTTGTCACTCAATAGTCTTTAAATTTAAGATAAACCATTCAAAATTAAATTATGCATTGACTAGCAATAACTACCATTCTAGAAATATGTGGAGAAAAATGTTTTTATAATGTCATTGTAGGCAGCAATGAATTCAAGTGAGGTTTTATTAATATTAATGATTTTAAGTTTTCAAATTAAAATTAGGTTCATTGTAACTGATACATAAAATTATAGATATTTATGGAGTACTGTGTACATCTTGATAGCAGGTTAAACATATATGTTTACTGAGACATTTATCATTTCTTTTTACCTAAAGCTTTTCAAATGTTTCATGCTAGTTTTTAAAGATATACAGCACATAATCATTATCTATAATTACCCTTCTGTGGAGTAGCATAAGGAAATCTCACTGCTGTCTAATTATAACTTAGTTCTGCTGATCATCTTTCCTGCTATCTACTAACCCACTCATCCCTCCCGCCCTCTACTAACCCAGACTCTAGTGATTACCACTCTACTCTCAACTCTGATATGAGTTTTATAGATTCTTTATCTGGGTAAGATCATGTTTCTGAATTATTTTACTTTACATGAATGAATCCCTAGTTCCATCCATGTTGTTACAAATGACAGAATTTCCTTTTTTATGGCCAAATAACATTCACACAGATGTGGGCATCACAATTTCTTTTCCACTCATCAGTTCTAGGCTTGCAGTAGCTTCATTTCTCATCTGTTGTGATAGTGCTACAGAGAACATGGCACTTCAGACATCTCCTCAACATTTTTAACAGTGATCTATATTCCTTTTAGACATATATCCAATAATGAGTTAGCTTGATCATACAAAACTCTATATATTTTTTTAACTTTTTGAGAAGCCTTCCTAGTGTCTTACATTTCACACACAGCATGCAACGGTTTCCTTCTCCACATCCACACATCACTTTTCTTTGGTGTTTTAATAGTAACTATTCTTATGGGGTAAGCTGCTATCTTCCAGTCATTCCTATTTGCAATTCTCTAATGATTAGTGGTGTTTAGCATTTTTCTTTCTCATATATACATTAGCCATTTTGCATATCTTCCTTGAGAAATGTCTATTTAGATTTATTACCTATAAGATTGAGTAGTTTATTTTTCTTGAGTTCTAAAGTACCTTATATGTCTTGATATGCCAAACCCTTCTCAGATGTGGAGTTTGCAATTTGTTTTCTTCTTTTCTAATGATGGTCTCTTCAATGCAATTGATGTCTGTTTTCCTGACTGGTTATCCAACTTACTTCACAGTTTTTTTTTTTTTAAAAAAAAAAACACTGACCTTTCCCAGTGTCTAGATGTGTGTACTTTACCATCTTTACTGAACATCTGTAGATGTGTGTGGTTTATTACAGTGTCTCTATTCTGTTCTGCTGGTTTATGAATCTGTGTCTTGAAAATGCCATAGTGTTTTGATTAACTACTGCTTCATGGTATATTTTAAAGTTAGGAGGTGGAGTGCCTTCTGACAAGGGATGAGGTTTTATTGTTCCAGACTCATTTGGAGTTCTTTAATTAGTTCTGTGTATGATGTCATTGAAGTTACACAAACTCCTGCTTCACTTTCAGTAATATAGTTACTTTAATGATTTGAATTCTCCAAATCTATGAATACAGAATATCTTTTCAATGTGTGTATCTTCTTTGAGTTCTTTGATGACTGTGATTTTTCACTGTATCGAGCTTTAGGAAAGCTGATAGTCTTTTCAGTTAATTTTTCCTTCCTTATCTTGTTACACGTTTATTAAGGTCTTTCCTTTTTAGGAAGGCTCACATTTTTTCCCCATACATGATTTTTGGAATTTCTGCTAATCTAATACTTTGGTTCTTTTAAATCTGTTCACTATCATGAATGGCACTTTCTTTTTAAGTGAAATCTTGGTGGCTATTAGTATCTAGGAAATTTTTTTCCCTATTGTAAGTTAATTTGTGTTTGGAATCCTGGCTAAATTTTACAGATTCAAAGTCTTTCAATTGAATTTGATAATTCTCTTTGCATACGGCGATCCATCACATATACTTCCCTGGCTAGTTGATGCCAACTGGACTCAAGCTAGAGTCATCTGAAAGAAGAGAACCTAGGTTGCGACAACACCTCCATAAGATACAGCTGTTGAACATTTTTAAATTAGTGATCAATGAGGGAGAGCTGAGCCCATTGTGGGTGGGACCACTTTCTGTGTTTATAGAAAGCAAGCTGAGCAAGCAATGAGGAGCAAGCCAGTAAGTGGTACCAATTCATGGCCTCTGCACCAGCTTCTGCCCTATTGATTTTCCCTCTGACTTCCTTCAATGATAAACTATGATATGAAAGTATAAGCCCAATAAGCACTTCTGTCCTCAGTTTTCTCTTAGGCGAGCTGCTTCATCACAACAATAGTAACCCTAACTAAGACAAATGCATGAATTTTCTTTTCCAACTTCATATCTCATTTTAATATTAAATAGCAAGGAAAACATGTTTTTTCTCATTTCTGAATTTAAACATAATATTTAAGTACGCCATTTGATAAGTGCTGGCTATTAAGGATATTACTGTGGACAAAAACAAAGTGTCTTATTAGTCTGATTTTTTTTTTAAATTTTATCATGAAAAGGTGATTAATGGTTGGAGAAATGACGTTGCAAGGAAAGTGCTTATGTGGCAAGCATGAGGCCTTGAGTTGTATCTCCAGAACTCATGTAAAAATGCCAGTCATAATGGTGCATGCTTAAAATCCCAGTGTGTGCTGGAGAGATAGAGTGTAGTGAGATATTCACTCTATCCTCACCTGTGGCACTGACTCCACCCACTGGGGGTGGGGACAAGGGCCAATGTGACCTGGGGGGGGGGACTAGATCTGGGAGAAGGGGCCCCAGAGTGCTCTCTTGCTTGCTAGACAGGGGCAAAGAGCATCCAGAGGCTTCCTTGGGACCAGCAACCTACTTTCTTTATCCATGTATACATTTATTCTCTCAGTTCTGTTCCTCTAGAGAACCCTGACTAATGCAAACAGTATCTACTTCCATTTTACTCTTAATACTCATTTCACTTTGGCATGTTTCATGTCCTGCTTTCATTAAACTAATTTTTTTACTAGCTTGATGCTCATACTTTTAAACACATGTTTTAAGCATTTATTTTAATTCTCTTTAGTTATTTATTGATGACAACACATATGTTCATTTCAATGCCAGTTTTTAAATGTTTTCAAATATATAGCTAAATTTTCTCTACTTCTCATAATCATCTTACCTCCATTCTTTTTCATGTAGGTTATTCTGAATTATTCAATATTTCATAGATGTATAAATTACACAGTAATAAATTTGACAGTTACTTAAGTTTTCTATATATCTTGTAGCCTAGCCATAGATTCACTTTTCCATTTACTTTGGAAATTTTTGAAAATGTTTTAAGTTAGTCTTGATATAATAAAATTTCTAAGTATTGTGTGCTAATCCATATTATTTTCTTTCTGTATAACTAAGCTATTAAATTTAGGACTCTTTAGTAGGTTAAAAGCAAGACAATGCCCAGTAAAATATTACTTACATGAAATAACAGAGAAAAGTTTGCCATAAAATGATAGGAAGATGTATTCTATGGAAAAAAATCAAAATTAACCAAATAGAATGGTACACACACACACACACACACACACACACACACACACACACTTTCACAAGCTTATGAAATGCCAACCATAAAAATTGGTATTACCAAAATAAAAATAACCTCCAAGCCAGACATGGTGGTTCATGTCTGCAATCCCAGTACTTGTGAGGCTAAGACTCAAAGCTACATAGAGGCTATACAGTAAGTCCCAGACCAGCCTGGTGTACAAAATGAGATCCTGCCTCAATCAATCTATCCATTAACCCATCAACCATCAATTAACAATTTCAATTTGGAAGACAAAAAAAGTCATTATGAGTAAGTAAGTAGTTACAACTTAGAGGATTTATGCTCTAGCCTACAGATAGCAGCGAGAATGAACAAGCTGCAACTATATGCAATAACAGGCTTTCACATCTGCACTTGGTTAAAGGATGCAGACACAAATGGAGGCATAGAGTATGAAGTATTTACATAAACTTACAAACAAGCAAGCCTAGGCTATGGTGTCAGGGATAGACCCACGGTGTATAGTGTGTAGTGGTGATATGAGGAGTGGGCAGAAGACCGAATCAGTCTTGTTAACTTTCAATAAAAAAATCTAGGTTCTGGGTAGGCACCAGCTCGAATTCTCCATGTTCTTTGAGTTTTGTCTTCAACAATTGGGCCTTGATATGAATTTGTGAAGACCAATCTATAGTCTTGGCAATAGCCTATTTTATTTTTTAATTAATAAATTTTATTTAAATTGGAAAAAAATCTTATTTTACATATCAATCCCAGTTCCCTCTCCTTCCCATCCTCTCATGCTCCCACACGACCCCCCTCCCACTCCCTCATCCACTCCCCAGGGAGGGTGAGGCCTTCCATGAGGGATCATCAAAATCTGTCAAATCGTTTGGGGCAGGACCTAGGCCCTCCCCCGTGTAGCTAGGCTAAGAGAGTATCTATCCATGGGGAATGGGCTCCCAAAGTCTGTTCCTGTGCTAGGGCTAAATACTGGTTCCACTGCCAGAGGCCCCATAGACTGCCCAGGCCTCCTAGCTGACACCCTTATTCAAGAGGCCTGGTTTGGTCCTGTGTTAGTTCCCCAGCTGTCAGACTGGTGTCCATGACACTTGCTCAGGTCGGGTTTCCCCCAGCATGGTTTTGACCCCTTTGTTTATCATTCCTCTCTCTCTGTAACTGGATTCCAGTAGTTCGGGGTCTGTGCTTAGCTGTGGATCTCTGTTTCTGCTTCCATCAGCTACTGGATGAAGGCTCTAGGATGGCATTTAATGTAGTCATCATTCTCATTATAGGGGAAAGGCTTTGTTTTTTGATTCCCATAAGATTCCCCTTGCTTAACACTTCAATTAGAAGTAACCCAAAGAATTATTGGAAAATTCTTTGGGTGACAAGAGATGAGCAGCTGGGACTCTGTCTGCCCTGGTATTTGCTGATTTCATTCAGATTACCTTTGTATATTTGTACATTTTAGGGAGTTTCTACTGTATTAGGCTTCCATACTACCCTCAAATGCCCCTTCATTTTATATGTCTTTCCTTGTATTTCCTTCCAGAATCCCCTCTTCCCCAATTTATTCTCCCATTCCAGCCTCACATTCATCAATAACTTTCTCTTCTGTTTTCATTTTTTAAATGAGATCTATCTGATCCTCAGTCCATCACTCTACACCTCTGTGGTTGGGTTTTTTTTTTTTTTTTGATATCTAGTTTCTTATATATTTTAAATATTAGTCCTCTATCTGATATGTCATGGGAAAAAACAGCACCACCATACCCCATTCTGTAGGCTGCTGCTTTCTGTGAATAAAGGTGTTATATGCTGCTCAGAAGCTTCATACTTTCATGAGGTCTCATTTGTTAAGTGTTGATCTTCCTGCTCTGTTTCTGGTGTTCTGTTCAGAAAGTCTTTTCGTGTGCCATTGAATTCAAGGGTATTTACTATTACAGAGCCTTGACTCCTATATTCTAACATTTTGGGTATAATAAGTTATTCTGTACTCTACAAAAAGAGAAACTTATACACCAAGATAGCCACAAACTCTTCATCTACAATGTTGTGTTGCTTGTAAGATGTGGTAGGGGAATGGTGGCACAAAGCTTTTGGAAGAAGCCAACTGGTAAGTGATTTGACTTAAGTCCTACTCCAAGAGATGAAACCCATACAGGAAACTGCTTGGTTGGCCAAGAACCTGAGTCTACATAGCCCAGAGTCCTAGGGTAAAACTAAATAATACTGGTCTAAGAAAAGAGAGAAATATAGTCATAAAATGATTCCTAATGACATTATCTTGCTCAGCCATCATCAGAAGAGCTTCATCTTGCAAGTGGAAACAAATATAGAGACGCATAAACAGACTTTTTTTTTTTTTTTTTTTTTTTTTTTTGGAGAGTGAGAGACCTTTGAACACTCAGGCCTAAAAGGAATTTCTCCGTCAAATCCCTTCCCTCAGAGCTCAGGTGACCCTGCAGAAGAGAAGGCAGAAAGAGTAGAAGAGCCCGAAGCGATGGAGGAAACCAAGAAAGCAAAGTCTTCTATATTAACACGAGCAAAGCTCGTATGAACTCACAGAGACTGAGGCAGCCTGCACACAGCCTGTACAGGTCTACACCAGGTCCTCTGCATAGATATTATATTTTCCAGTTTAGTGGTTTCATGAGATTTTATTTTATTTATTTTTTTTTTGTTTGTTTGTTTGCCTTCTTTTGGCCTCTTTTCCTTCTGTTGGCTCGTCCTGTCCAACTTTGTTGTGAAGTATCGGTTTAATTTTATTTTATTTTGAAAAGAGTGAATGGGAGGACGAAAACCTAACTACTAGATTAGAGGTTAATAACTGAACTGTCATGTATACCTGCTGGGAGAGTTTTCTCCAATAGTGGGATATCAACTACTCTAGGGCAGACTTCATGTTCCAGAGTAGCTGACTAACCTATATGAACTTCATATACAACTTTTTGTTGCTTTGTTGGTTTTCTTATGCTTTTATTTGGGTATAGTTTATTGATTATCTATTTTTTCCATTTTGGGTGCTTGCTTTGTTTTTTAGGTTTTGGTGGTTTTGTTATTGTGCTGGGGTTATGTTTGTTTTTTGAGAAAGAACTTAAAGTTGGGTGGGTAGGGATAGGGAGTGAATATGGGAGAACTTTAGAGAGAGGGAGAAAGGGACCAAAAATATTTAAATTAAAAAGTGATGTAAACAATAAAAGGTATAAGAAAAAGAAAAATGTTATAAAACAGAGAAAAACAATCTTGGTTCTGGCCAAATAAACAATTCAAATTGTGTACTTATGGCCCATAAACCTTATAAATACACATTTAACTTTAAAGGTCTTTAAAACACTAAGGTGGAAACTTTCATAACAGTTTACTTCAATAATTTACTCCAATTCAGTTTACTTCAATAGTTTGAAAATATTAATTTATTGGTCCTGGAGAGATGGCCCAGCAGTTAAGAGCTGTTCTTCCAGAGGACCCAGGTTTGCTTGCCAGCATCCACATGGAGGCTCACAACCATATTCAATTCCCAAGAGATTAAACTCTTTATCTGGCCTCTACAGAGATCAATAATTTATACAGTACCTAGACACAGAGAATATGTCTGCATGTACCATACCACTGGAGTCCTGAAAATTTTACTGAGGTAGAAGGTTCTTGAATTTTGGTTGGATTTATTTCTCAGCTTTTTACATGCATATATGTTACTAATGAGTTCAAAGTGATTGCTATCTCCTGTTAGTCAAATTAGCACAATGTCATCAATATAGTGCAGTATGTGATATTTTGTGGAAGAATATAGGATGCAGAGCCATTCTGACTGTTTTGACACGGGCTGGAGAAGAGATCTTTGAGGTAAAACTGTAAAGTTATACTGCTGGCCTTGCCAACTGAAAGCAAATTGCTTCTGGTAGTCCTTATGAATAGATCCCCACAAAATGCATTTGCTGGATCAATATCTGCAGACCGTATGTCTCAGTTAGGGTTTCTGTTGCTGTGATGAAACATGAAGACCAAAAACAAGTTGGGGAGGAAAGAGTTTTTTGGCTTACACTTTCATGTGGTTGTTTATCATCATAGGAATTCAAATAGGGCAGGAAACTGGAGGCAGGAGCTAATGCTGAGGCCATGAAGGGGTGCTGCAAACTAGCTTCTTCATCATGGCTTGCTCAGCCTCCTTAGAATTTAGAGCTACCAGCCCAGGGATGGTACAATATACAATGGGCTGTGCCCTCCCCCATCAATCAATAATGAAGAAAAGCCCTACAGGCTTGCCCTCATCCTGATCTTATGGAGGCATTTTATTTTTCTCTTCTCTCTTTTCTTCTCCTCCTCTTTCTTTGGTTTAGTGTTTTTATTTATCATTAAATTTTAATGAATTTTATTTTATATTGCTATGGGTTTTTCTCCCCTTTCTTTTTTTTTAAATTTAAATTAGAAACAAGCTTTTTTATATGCCAATCCCAGGTCCCTCACACTTCCCTCCTCCCCTGTCCCCACCCAACCCTCATCCCGTACCCTTTCTGCTCCCCAGAGAGGATGAGGCTTTCCATGGGGAGTCTTCAAAGTCTGTTGTATCATTTGGAGCAGGGCCTAGGCTCTCCCCTATGTGTCTAGGGTGAGGGAGTAAGTATCCCTTTATGTAGAATGAGCTCCCAAAATCCACTCATGTACTAGGAATAAATACTGATCCACTACCAGAGGCCCCATAGACTGCCCAGACCTCCTAAATGAGACCCACGTTCAGGGGGTCTGGAGACATTTTCTTAACTGATGCTCCCTTCTGATTTTAGCTTATGTTGACCTGGAACAATTCATCACACCATGTACTGGGGTGTGTGTCAATCTGCTCAAGTAAGGACACCATATCTTGTACAGCAGCTGCCATCAGAGTCACTGACAGACAGTTTTCGATAGTCAGCTGCCATTTTCCACAATCCATTTTCTACGCCTGCCAGATAGAGGAGTTAAAGGGAGAGTGGAGGTAACTACCGCCCCTGAATCTTTCAAGTTCTTAATTGGGGAAAGGATGTCTGTATTTCCTCTAGGGATGCGATACTGGTTTTGATTCACTATTTTCCTTGGCAGAGGCAATTCCAAGAACTTCCATTTAGCCTTTCTAACCATAATATCCCTCACTTCATAGGGTACAGAACCAATGTGAGTTCTGCCAAAAATCTAAGTATATCTATCCCAATTATACATCCTCAGATTACGAAAGAACCACAGGATGAGTTTGGAGAACTACTGGAGCTACTGTGAGTTGGACTTCATTACTCACCTGACCTACATAAGCCCCTATTCAACTGAAGGGCCACAATATTTATTGAGATAATCAAGAGTATTTTTAGGTATTTTATCAAGATCCTTCCTCATGGGGAATCTGGCTGTCTTTCATTCAAGGGATCCAGGGTATGCAAACTGCCGTAAGTCCAGAAATTGATTGATGAGCCATGTTTCCCTTTTGCCATGATCTAATGCAGCCTTCCTTTCATTTATTTGAGATTTTTTTGCATGTAGGCAGATCAAACAAAACTTAGTAGACTTGTTATCATTCATACATGCATTATATGTCTGGAAGCATCATAGGAGTCATGCCAGCATAAAATTCACTTTGCCTGTGTTAGCTATTATAATAACTACAACCACCTTGCCTTTGGCAATTCAATGCTGCCTCCTGCTTGGCCCCTGGTACCAAAGAACACCCTCTGCCTTTAATTCATTTAACTAAATAGCAGCATCTCCAACCCAAAGGTCTGGCACAAGAAAAAGGAGGTCAACAAGGCACTTCAAATGTGCTGGTGCCCTCTCACCATTTTGCATCTTATAGAATTGGTGATGGGCAGGTCTTCTGAGTTTTCCCATTGTGGAGGATCAGGTTTTGCACAGTGTACCCACTCTAGCATTGCAATATTCCTGAGCCTCAAATCCCTTCATCAACACTAAGCCAAGTGGTATCAGGCATCTCCAACTCCTTTTCAGTAAGCCAACTTTTGACAAATGCTTCAGACCATCATTAAACTTTTGCCACCATTTTCTAATGGTTCCATATTAAACCTAGAATACCCACTCAGAGGACTCACATCAATAAAATTAGTCTGATTGGCATTATGTTCTTTCTGCCATTATCCCATACCCCTAAAATCCACTAACCCACATATTCCCAAGACTTCTGTTTGAATGAATTAGCAAATTCAACTACACTCTTTAGTAGTGAATCACACCTCCTCACAAACTATACTTTCTTTCTTCCCTCTGAGAGTTTGCTTTGCTTTAAGTCTGGTTATACGTCTGTCGAGCGCTATAGCCTTGCCTGCAAGAACAACGCTCAACAACAGGATTCTTCTGCAGCTATGTTTATTGCGCGGCTCATTACAGCAAGTTGAGGGAAGACCCCAAAGGAGGAAAAAGGCACTGCTTATATATGCTTTAGGGAGTCGTGTCCTAAACTGACAGGTTCAGCCCGCAATGCTCATAATGGTCACCCCATGACGTGGATCGCGCATGCGCATTGTCAAAAACAAACGCACCTTGCTGGCTTATGGACAGGAAACTGGCGCCATCGGGAATGGCACCGGTGGCTCTCTACGTAGGTCTAGAGGCAACTATTGGCCTATACATCAGGGTGTGGCTCTTAGCTACTTCTCCAGCCCCACACCAGCCTGCCATGCTCCCTGCCCATGTGCTCCCCTCCACAAAGATAATGGACCAAAGCTCTGAAACTGTCTCCACATTCCCAGAAGTGGGCAGATGGAAAAAGAAGACAGATGTTGGAAGACAGATGGGTGATCTATTCGCCACAACTATGGCTGCAAAGTGTGGGCTTTCTTTAGTTAAGGTGTTCTCTTCGCACTGAAATTTGGAAAGCACCTGAGTAAGGGAAAAGGCCCCTGCTGCAGAGACAGGCAGAACCCTGCAGGGGCGTTTCTAAGCTTTTCCCCTTACCCGTCCCATGTACAGGGTGAGACTCTCTTAAAACTGGTGCACAGAACATCTTCAGGCAGGTTTGTCACAGGTGAGACCCAGAAGCCACAAATTCAACTGCCACTCCTTATAAGCACAAACTAGGTGGTGCTCCATCCACAGTCAAACTTGTGCTCCAGGTGCCACCTGGTGGTAAGAATACGTAAGAGGCTGTGTCTCAATGGACAAGACTTGAGCAGAGTGCCTGTACTTGTGAACTTGCAGTTGCATATAGAAACTACCATTACCTCCCTCCCACATGCACTCTAAACAACCTCCCCTCCCATCCCCCCACCACAATTCGAGGGAGGGAGGGAGAGGGAACTGGGATCGACATAATTTAATTAAAAAAAAATGCTTTGACTCCAAAATTTAACTTGAAGAACAAGTTACTGGGGAAAAGGATTTCTATTTTTGTTTCCACAGAAAATGAAAAGATGTGGATTCCTTCCAGACTAATGTGGTTTGATCGCACCAGACCGCCTGAAACAAAGTACAAGCTGATCCTACATTCAAAACAGCTGGACAAAACAGCCCTACAGACTACAGCTTGGATATCTGAATCTTCTTCGAATCCCCCAAGACAGCGCCCCTTACCAGCAGGAAGTAGTTTGGAAAGAACGATGCCCAAATTCCCAAATATTGTGTATAAATGTTTGTTTTCATTTAATTGGATTTTGTTATATAAAATTAAATTAAAAAATTATAAAAAAAAAAAACTACCATTACCTCTGGCGTGAAACTGAGGGTCCAATGTGGTACTGGATATCAGCACACCCTGGAAGACAGAATTTGAGGAAGCTTTCTTTTGTATTCTTCAAAAACCCCTGCTAATTGAGTAGTGCTCTTGCAGTGTATCATTTCCCTGAATAATTGCCAGCATTTGTGTTATTTGTTGTCTGTAAGGAGTAAGGTTTTTCCTCCTGCCACCAGTCTTGTCCCACCACCGCGCCAGCCCCAATTAACACACCGAGACTCTGTATTTGATATAATCTGTTGGCCAGTTACTAGTTTCTTATCAGCTAGCTCTGTCTTAATTATTAACCCATTTCTGCTGATCTGTGTATTTTCACGTGGTCTTACCAGCGAGAGGCAGCTGGCTGTTCTGCCTTCTCCAGACTCTACATCTTGACTCCTCCTTACTACTTCCTCTTTCCTCCTTCTCTCCTAGTCCCTCCTATCTTCCTTTCCTATTGGCCAACAGTGCTTTATTCATTAACCAGTATGAGAAACATTTTTACAGAATGACATCTCCCATCAGTTGTCATTCAAACTGAGGTGAGATGTTATCTCAATGTAGTTGTCCGTTTTCTCTTCTCTGATGGCTAAGGATGTTGAGCATTTTTTTCATAGGTTTATGGGTATTTTTTACTTTTAATCTTTGAAAACATTTTATTTATTCTTTTGAAATTTAAACACCTTATTTTTATCATATTCACCACATCCCTAACTCCCACCAGGTCCAGCCCTCTCCCTTATACACTCAGTGTCTTCTGTTTTAGTTGTTTCTGTTGTTTGGGTGATTGCTTGGTTTCCTGATTTGGCGATTGGAAGATATGGTTTTGGTTTGGTTGTTTTTGTTGTTTATGTGGTTTCCTTTGTTTGTATTTAGTATGAAGGAGAGTAGTGTGAAGATACATGTTTATGAAACACAGGCTGGCTGCTGCTCCCAATGCAAAGAACCCAAGGCCAATTAAACTCTTCAGAGAAGAACATGTCTTGGTTCATTGTCTGGGTTCTAGTGCCCCATAAATACTTTATTGAGGGTGTTTAGATAAAACAGAAATATAGAGAGGAGGGTGGGGACATGGGAAGGGAAAGGGCTTCCTCATTTGGAGTCTGGTAGAAGCCTCTCCCTGGCACAGAATGAAGAGTTTCAGCACAATTTGCAGCATTTTTTTTAAATGAAGGTTGCTAGCATAGAGATATGGTTCTTCTCATATACAGCCATTTTATATTAAAGTAGCCATGAATTGGGTTTAAGGCCTGAACATATGTGACTTTGAATATGACCTCATCCATTCTGGGGGGTCACTTCCCAGAAATCTCAGACAAGACTAACTTTTAAAATTCTTACCTACCAGGATGTGTCTGAACACAAGTTTCCCACAGTAGCAGAGAAGATGGATGTTGCCCTGCTGGCAATAGAGTATATCATGGGAATAGTGGGTAAGGGAACTTCTCCCTTAGATTCTGCCTCGATAGAAACAAATTGCCTGAAGACTGTGGATCACACATGGCTCAGTCACATGAACAGATATCTGTCTTCTCTATGACTACAGATGTTGTAAACCTTTCCTTTAATCTCTTAAACTGTTTATTCTAATAATATAAACCTCCTTGCCTGTCTGGGAACAATTACAGGTAACCACCCAGAATCCTCATTAGTGCTTATAAGTAACCCATAAAATAGTTTCAAAACCCACCCAAATCCTATATATAGGACTATTGTAAAAACTATGAAGCATGACGCTCATTTCAGAAGACAGTACTCACACTTAGACCACTTAGACATGTCTTTCTTTGTGCACGTTTTAAGAAACCTATACCCATGCTTTGAGGAATGTCTTTTCTAACTCTCCCTCTCTCTCTTTATACACACACACACACACACACACACACACACACACACACACACACAAATATCTTTTTAAAACATTAACTATGCTTTATAGAGATTTGTTCAGTAATTCTTTGCACCAAAGCCGAGAAGAATGGTTTGGCTGAGTTGATATCTACTAAGGATTCGGGGACTCCTCAATTTCCTGTGAGTGATAAAGTGGAGCTGTGCCTTCTTCCTTGTGTTCCTTTCCACTACCCTTTAAAACAGAATATGGCAGAGAAGACAGTAATAATTAGAAGATCAGTAATGAGTATACATCAAGAAAGGGGGGGGGAGTTCATTTTCAAATAGAATGTTTAGAGCTGGTAGTAGATGGACACAGATTTCCAAAGGAGACATTCTGGGGAAGCTGGTATGTAATAGTTTGCATGGAATGCAACGAACAAGTAACCAGTTTGGAATTTAAATGACAAAATGATAACCAAAGCACACAAAAAGGAATGCTTTCTTCTTCATAAATCGGTTTTCAGAGGATTTGATCAGAAGACAATGGTTTGAGTGGGTTTCCTCTAAATTTATTTTTAATGTGTGTGTGTGTGTGTGTGTGTGTGTGTGTGTGTGTGTGTGTGTGTGTGTGTGTGTGAGTGTATCCATTAAGGACAGGAGACAGAGCTGGGGTTGTAGACAGGTGTGAAGCATTTAATGTGGTTGTAGAACTTGGATCCTCTGTAAAAGCAGTGGGTTTCTTTCTTACTCAGTGTTCTATTGTTGAGAAGAAACACCATGATTAAGGCAACTCTTATAAAAGAAAGCATTTAACTAAGGACTTGCTTATAGTTTCATAGGTTGAGTTCTTTATCATCATGGCACATAGGTAGAAATGATGTTAGAGAAGTAGCCGAGACCTGCATCTTGATCCTATGACTGAGAGGGACACTTTGGCCTTAGAATGAGCTTTTAAAACCCCAATGACACACATCCTCCTAATCTTTGCAAATAGTGCCACTCCCTGGTAACCAAGCATTCAAATCTATGTGCCAACGGGGGCCATTTTTATTCAAATTACCTGAGTGTCTTAACCACTGTACTATTTTTCTACTCCAGTTCTTTGGGTATGGTGCATAGTGACAGCAAAACAATCTTTAGGTGTTAGGTAGATCTTAATGGGTCTCTTCATTCACTCTCACTCTCTGTGGTGTTAGTGTTTGTGTACACATATAATAGGAATGCACATTAGCAAAACTTACCAAGACTCTCATAAGGACAGATACTGGAATTTTCTTGCAATCCGACAGGTTTTCAAAGGCTATAAATCGAGTGAAAGTTACGAAGAACAGGATGATGTTGAGAAAAATGTTTCTATAACCTCAGAGGCAAGCAATAAAACAGTCTAGGGACTCCAAGTCACCTTCCTTGGAAAAACTATTTTCTGACCTTTCAAGTAGTGGACAATACCCAAAACTTCCCTACAGACAGTTTATGTTCTGGCACATCCTGGTAGAAGGAGAAATTTGATATATATGTATATGCACATGAATATAATGTATATGTATAAGATGTATATTTATCTATATCACCAATATCTCTATAGATCTATATCTATTTCTGTACCTGTATCATCTACAACTATATCTACTCCTATTTATTGCCAGTCAGGTAGATGTTGTGAATAAGCCAACAAAGGCCAATCTGTTCTTAAAGTAAACTCTTTAAAATGAAGCCATTTCCCATCTCATGATGACGCATCATGCACTTAAATTAACAGCCCATCTGTCCATCAAGATAAGGATTCATTTCACTCCTGCCCCTCAGCTCCTCACTGCACTTAGGAACTCCAGAAAAGAACTCATTTTTCTTCCATCACAGGCATTTTTGACCCCATCTACTTCTCTCAGTGTGCTCTATGCCTTGCTGTCACTTTAATAAACCTACCCTTTCTTTTTTATAATAATTACTGTTTTGTGTCTTTTTCAATTCTCTGGTCCAAGTAAAAAGAGCCTGGGAATTGCATCATAGAAGAACCCCAACATCTCCTCTAGTAACATAAGTTTATGAAATATCTGGAGAATATAGGATAGCCAGGAAATTGAAAATTTTCACAATGAAGTGTAATTTAAAATGATTTTTGAATAAAACTATTTTCTGAGAATTTCAGACATGAAGACCATACCTGCATAATTTTCTCTTTCCTTTCCTCACTCTAATTCCTTTTCTGCCCCCTCCTCCATTCCTTGCAAATTCACCCACTGTGTTATTCTGAGTATCTGAAACTCTTATGTAGAGTTTTCTAGGGTGACTTCCAACTCATAGAGATCTGACCACCTCATCAACATGGCTTGATAGAAAAGAAGGAGGAAGGAGGTGTCTTAGTTAGCTTCACTATTGCTGTAACAAACAAAAAAAAACCAAAGCAACTTGGGGAGGAAAGGGTTTGTTTCACTCACAGTTTCATATAATAGTTCATCATAAAAAGCAGTGAGGGTAGGAACTCATGCACGGCAAGAACTTAGAGGCATGAGCTAATTCAGAGATAATTAGGGTGATAATTATTGGCTTGCTCAGCCTGCTTTTTTTTTTCCTTAAACTTTTTTATTTAAATTAAAAACAACCATATTTTACATACCAATCCAAGTTCCTTCTCCCTCCTGTCCTCCCATGCCCCACACCAACTTCCCATCCAGCTCCACATTTACTCCTCAGGGAGGGTAAGGCCTCCCATGGGGGATCATCAAAGTATGTCACATCATTTTGAGCAATCAGCCTGCTTCCTTTTCTTTCTTTCCTTCTTTCTAGTTCCATCCATTTGCCCATGAATTTCAAGATTTCATTGTTTTTTTTTCCACTGAGTAATACTCCATTGTATAAAAGTGACACATTTTCTTTATCCAATCTCCAGTTGAGGGGCATCTAGATTGCTTCTGGGTTCTGGCTATTACAAATAATACTGCTATGAACATAGTTGAACAGATGTCTTTGGAGTATGAATGGGCATCCTTTAGGTATATGCCTAGAGTGGTATTGCTGGATCTTGTGGTAGACTGATTCCCATTTCCCTGAGAAACCACAATACTGATTTTGGAAGTCGCTGTATAAGTTTGTAGCCCCACCAGCAATGGAGGAGCATTGCCCTTTCTCCACATCCTCTCCAGAAAAACTGTCATTGATGTTTTTTATTAGCCATTCTAAGGTGGATCTTAGAGTTGTTTTGATTTGTGTTTCCTTTAGATCTCTCTATGGAGAATTCTCTTTTTAGTTCTGCACCCCACCTTTTAACTGGATTATTTAGTGTTTTGGTGACTAGCTTCTTGAGTTCTTTGTATATTTTGGAAATCAGCCCTTTTTCAGATGCGGGGTTGGTAAAGGTCTATCCTTTCCCATTCTGTGTAGCCTGCTTCCTTCCTTCCCTCCTTCCTTCCTTCCATCCATCCTTCCTTCCTTTCTTTTTTTCATATATATTTTTATTTAGAAACAATCCTATTTTACATATCTATCCCCCATGCCCTCTTCCTCTCATCCTCTCATGCACCCCAATGACCCCCCAAACCCACCCCTCACCCACTTCCCAAGGATAGTGAGTCCTTCTATGGCAGATTATCAAAGTCTGTCACATCATTTGAGGGAGGGCGTAGGTCCTCCTTCCTATATGTGGGCTGAAATAGTATCCCACCATGGGGAATTGGCTCCCAAAGTCCATTTATGCCCTAGGGATAAATGCTGTTTCCGTTGTTAGAGGTCCCTTAGACTGCCCAGGCCTCCTGGCTGGCACCCACATTCAGAGGGCTTGTTTTAGTCTAATGCAGCCTGCTTTCTTACAGAAGGCAGAACAACTAGCACAGGGATAGTACCACCCACAATGGCCTGGGCCCTCCTCCCTTGATAGAAAAAAAAAAAAACAGCCTTTACAATGGTTGGTCAAAGAATAAACTGAGTGGATTCAGTCTCATTCAGAAGTTCTGCTGGAAAGAAAGATGTTATGACTGATTGTGAAGACTTGCATCATTAGATATAATGGAGTTTCCACTTCATTATGTCCTCTATCTCTCAATGCTTCCTGTCTGTGTACAAGAACCAGGTAACTCCATTCTTTCTTTGCTTTTGCAGACCTTTAACTAGAACACAATGGCAACTAAATACTAGTTTACACAACATTTACTTTTACCATAGGTAAAGAAGACATGATAGCTTTTGTATATCAATCATATACCTATAGAATCACACAGCTAGAAAATCATTTAATGTGAGCATGTTTGAAACAGTGACTACAAAAAATGGGATAAGCCTAAAAGGCAAGCACACTGCTCCTGAAAACTAGAATAAAAGCTTATAATAAAGAATTCCGATGGTACAAAAACCATGATAAACTCAAAAGAGAGGCTTAGGTTTGATGATTAGTCTTCTGCTTAGCATGACTGGGTCCTGGGTTCAGTCCCTAGCACCAAGTAAGAATAATAAATTAGTAAACAAATGCATGATGAGGAGACCTCTATGAAATATCTGTGAATATATAGGAGAAGAGAACCTGGGAACAAATGATGATGTTGTGGAATCAGTGACAGCTAGGTTGTTGCTTTTGTCGTGTTGCCAGCTTAGATTTTCTTGTATATTA